GGTCCATGGAATTACCTAAAATATAGTGTTAATATGTCTTCCTAGGAACTTGTCAGACTTGCTCTTTTGACTGGGTTTTCTGTACTAGGCATGAATTCCCTCTTGTGTAACAGGCCTAAAATCCAATCAGAAAGCAGTTGATTACAACCATGAGAATTGTGCCAGTATTGCAATAATGCTACAACCACATTCTTGCTCAATTTAAGGTCAGCTCCATGACAGGGAAAACATAATTGACAGTGTTATACAGCCAAAGGGCTAAGAACCTATAATGAAACAAGTTAGGATCCCTAGGAAAGGATCTACTATCATTCTGCTAAATGAATATTTTATTAAATCAACTCCACATGACTTATCTTAATATCCATAGAGCAGTGCATCTCTAAATTCTTATCTTTTAATAAATCTTAAATAACAGTAGATGGTAATTAACACAGAAAAATACAACTTGGAAGGTACAAAAAATATAAGAGTATGAATTTTTTAGTCATAAATGGAATATTATATCACAGTCCATCCTCTCAAGGCTCAGGTCTTAATGCAGAAAGATTCTAAGAACCAAAAGCAATGAATGACTATGAGAAAACAACATTTCTGGATTCAGCATTGCAGCTGCTCATATAAACTCAAAGTACTCATTGCAGCATTCACATTCAATAGCAGAGACAATCCTAGTATGCACAGGGAAGTTAAACATGAACCCACACCCTAACTAAGGACCTCTTGGCTAGTGAGATCAGCTACTCTGGAGGAGAACCATATTTGGTTAAGGTTGTATTGCCTGGTAGATCAACCACGCTCCAGTGGAAGGCCATACGTCCAAGAGTCTAAAGGCAATGAAAATAGTTCTTGAAGCATTTGAAAAGCAAAAAGAGGAAACAAAATTTGGTGAGCAGACAAGAGAAAATCTATGAAGACTTAGAAAAGGAGGAGAATATGGTCAAAATCCGTTCCATGAAACTATGAAAAAAACTAATAAAATGAAGTTATGTCATTTACAGGGAAATAGAGGCTGCTGGAAAGAGATGAACTATGCCAGTCCCAGAAAAAAATGAGTATTTTATGTTCTATATCATTTGTAAGTCTCAAGTATGAATACAGAAAACCCTATTTGTAAAGAGGACATGAAATTCTAACAGTTGGAGGAACAAATAGGGCTTATGGGAGGTGACGTGACTACAATCTGGAGGAAAATGAGGCATTGATCAATACACTCAACACACATTTTATGCTTGCATGAAAATGTTCTTATATAGCACTCCATAATACAAAAGTTATTTTTTCAAATAAATGTAATAATTTCTATTTAAATTAGTAACAAGCTTGCTTCACATGTCAATACCAGCTTCCTCTCCCTCCACCACGCCCCCTAACTCCCCACCCCATCCTCCCTCCGCTCCCCAGGGAGGTTGAGGCCCTCCATGGGGATCTCCAAAGTCTGTCATATCATCCCAGGCAGGGCCTAGGCCCTCCCCCATGTGTCCAGGCTGAGAAAGCATCCCTCCATGTGGAATGGGCTCCCAAAGTCCATTCCTGGACCAGGAATAAATACTGATCTACTACCCAAGGACCCATAGATTGCCAAGGCCTCTTCACTGACACCAACATTCAGGGGGTCTGGATCAGTCCCAGGATGGCCTCTCAGCCATCAGTCTGGTGTCCATGAGCTCCCCCTTCTTCGGGTCAGCTGTTTCTGTGGGTTTCACCAGCCAGGGCTTGACCCCTTTGCTCATCACTCTTCTCTCTCTGCAACTGGGTTACAGGAGTTCAGTGTTTAGCTGTGGGTGTCTGCTTTGGCTTCCATCAGCCACTGCATGAAGGCTCTAGGATGGCATACATGGTGGTCATCAATCTCATTATCGGGGAAGGGCATTTAAGGTAGCCTCTCCACTATTGCTTAGATTGCCAGTTGGTGTCATCCCTGTAGATCTCTGGAAATCTCCCTAGCACCAGATTTCTCTTTAAAACTATAATGGCTCCCTAAATTATGATGTCTCTTATTCTGCTTTCCTCTATTCTTCCCCTGACTTGATCTCCCTGCTCTCCCATGCCCTCTCCCCCCCTCTCTTTCTCCTTGCTCCCTCTCCCCTCCCCTATGCTTCCAATTTGCTCAGCAAATCCTGTCCCATTCCCTCTTCTCAGGGGTACCATACATGTCTTTCTTAGGGTTCTCCCTGTTTCCCAGACTCTCTGGTGGTGGGGTTGTAGGTTGGCAATCCCCTGTCCCATCTCTAAAATCCATATATGAGTGAGTACATACCATGTTTGTCTTTTTGTGACTGTGTTTCCTCACTCAGGATGGTTTCTTCTAGTGCCATCCATTTGCCTGCAAATTTCAAGATTCCATTGTTTTTTTTTCTGCTGAGTAGTATTCCATTGTGTAAATGTACCCAACATTTTTTCTATCCATTCTTCAGTTGAGAGGCATCTAGGTTGCTTCCAGGTTCTGGCTATTTACAAGTAATGCTGCTATGAACATAGTTGAACTGATGACCTTATTGTATGAATGTGTGTCTTTTGAGTATATGCCTAGGAGTGGAATTGCTTGATTCCCATTTTCCTGAGGAATCTCCATACCGATTTCCAAAATGGCTGTACAAGTTGGCACTCCCACCAACAGTGGAAGAGTGTTTCCCTTTCTCCACATCCTCTCCAGCATAAACTGTCATTGGTGTTTTTGATTTTAGCCATTCTGACAGGAGTTAGATGGTATAAAAAAGTTGTTTTGATTTGCATTTCCCTGATGGCTAAGGATGTTGAACACTTTCTTAAGTGTCTTTCAGTCATTTTAGATTCCTCTATTGAGAATTGTCTATTTAGTTCTATTTCCCACTTTTTAATTGGATTATTGGTTGTTTTAGAGACTAGCTTCTTGAGTTCTTTATAGAATTTGGAGATCAGACCTCTGTCAGATGTGGGGTTGGTGAATATCTTTTCCCAGTCTGTGGGCTGCCTTTTGTCTTGTTGACTGTGTCCTTTCCCTTACAGAAGCTTCTCAGTTTCAGGAGGTCCCATTTATTAATTGTCAATTTCAGTGTCTGTGCTACAGGTGTAATGTTCAGGAAGCTGTCTCCTATAACAATTCATTCGGGAGTACTTCCCACTTTCTCTTCTAAGAGGTTCAGTATGGCTGGATTTATGTTGAGGTCTTTGATCCGTTTGGACTTAAGTTTTTGCATGGTAATAGACATGGATCTACCTCCAGTCTTCTACATGCCAGCATCCAGTTATGCCAGCACCATTTTCTGAAGATGCTCTTTTTCCATTTTTTTTAGAAGTTCAATTGCATTCCATATCAGACTGCATGTGCAACATAGGAATAGTTGGTCAACCCAAAGTGAACTGTTTTGTTTTGTTTTGTTTTGTTGTGTTGTGTTGTGTTTTTTGAATGGGAATATGTCTTTTTTTTTTCTTTTTGTTTGATTTTGGTTTTTGTTTCTTTTAACATCTGGAAGGGACTTGGGGAAAGGAAAGAACATGACTAAAGTATATATTACTTATAACAATAAAAACTTAAATAATTAAAACATTCATATCAAACCCTGTACCTGGGGCTGGAGAAATAGCTTGTAGGTTAACAGCACATTGTGCTCTTGCAGAAGAACTGAGCACAGTGACTCACAGCAATCTGTAGCTAACACCATCTTCTTGCCTTTGGGACACTGACACCGACATATTCCCACACATTACATTACATATAAATCAAATAAATTACAAACACCATTATATATAAATCAAAAATAAAACCTTAAAATCCCTTAAGGTAGTTACACAGTCTTAACACTGAAATTCATACTTGCTTTATGTTCTTTTTATTTTTTATTTTATTTTATTTTATTTTTTATTATTCACCCACTTTATTGAAACCATATATTATCTAAAACATGATAACATCATCTGTAATGTTTAAGTAATAATTGTGAGTTTTTTCTCCATTTTTTATTGAAATTAGAAACAATATTGTTTTTACATGTCAATCCCAGTTCCCTCTCCCTCCCCTCCTCCCCTGCCCCCACACTAACTCCCTATCTCATTCCCTTTCTACTCCCCAGGGATGGTTAGGCCTTCCATGGGGGTGGTCTTCAGAGTCTGTCATATCCTTTGGGATAGGGCCAAGTCCCACCCCATGTGTCTAGGCTGAGGGAGTATCCCTCTATGTGGGATTGGCTCCCAAAGACCATTTCTATGCTAGGGATAAGTACTGATCTACTACAAGAGGCCCCATAGATTTCTGAGGCCTCCTCACTGACACCCACATTTATGGGGTATGGATCAGTTCCAAGTTGGTTTCCCAGTGATCAGTCTGGGGACCAAGAGCACCCCCTTATTCAGGTCAGCTGTTTCTGTGGGTTTCACCAGCCTGGTCTTGACCCCTTTGCTCATCACTCCTCCTTCTCTGCAACTAGGTTCCAGTTCAGTTCAGTGATTAGCTGTGGGTATCTGCTTCTACTTCCACCAGCTGCTGGATGAAGGCTCTAGGATGGCATATAAGGTAGTCATCAATCTCATTATCAGGGAGGGCATTTAAGGTAGCCTCTCCACCATTGCTTAGATGGTTAGTTGGTGTCATCCTTGTAGATCTCTGGAAATTTCCCTAGTGCCTGATTTCTCTTTAAACCTATAATGTCTCCCTCTCTTATGGTATCTCTTATTTTGCTCTCCTCTATTATTCCCCTTACACAAACTTCCTGCTCCCTTATGTCCTTCTCACCCCTCCTCTTTTCCCCTTAAATCCATTCTTCTGCTTCATACAAGAAACACACCTCAACTTCAAAGACAGACATTACCTCAAATCTTTATGTTCTTGATCCATTGTAGGCATTGCTGCCTACAAAAAGGCACTCTTTCCACACCAGACTAGAAAACTTCATTTCATCATGGACTTGAATACACACTGTTTTAAGTAATGACTTTTCATGGTTTTAAAAACATATTGCAATCACATTTAGAACTCATTTAAGGCTTTGATCTTTTACAGCTCTAATTATGTGACTCATGGCATGGTTCTGATTGGAGAAAGAGATGAGCAGAAAACAAGGTAAGAATACACTGAACAACACAAAATGCAATACAGCAATACTAGGAACTAGTGGTTCTACAGAAACAGGATCTGAACATCCAAATGCAGATGGAGCAGAAGAAAACAACATTAAAAAATAACCTTTAAAGAAGATTGAGTTCCTTAAAGAGGAAATTAAAAATCCACTTAAAGAAATGGAGGAAAAGACAGAGAGACCTGGGGGGGGCAGCGAGAGTCCCAAACCATCCAGGACCCCATCTGCCACTATCATAGCATTGGCCCCACCCCCATGGGGAGAGGTGAGTGCCTTCCCCCTACCTCCTTTGGGAGTCCTTGACCAGAGCATGTTGCCCCAATCTGCCCACTGAATCCCAAGAGACCTAGAGAGAGCCCCAAACCATCCAGGGAAATGCAAATCAAAACAACTCTGAGATACCACATTACACCTGTCAGAATGGCTAAAATCGCAAACACCAATGACAGCTTATGCTGAAGAGGATGTGGAGAAAGGGAAACGAACATTCCTCCCTTGCTAATGGGAGTGCCAACTTGTACAGCTCCTTTGGAAATCAGAAATTTGGGACATAATATTCACTTGTGTCTTACAGTTTCAGCAGGTTAGTCTGTTATCATCATTGCGAAGGGCATGGCAGTAGCCAGGATAGCAGGAATGGGACTGAGAGCTTGCTTTCTGGCCCAGTGTGTGTGTGTGTGTGTGTGTGTGTGTGTGTGTGTGTGAGAGAGAGAGAGAGAGAGAGAGAGAGAGAGAGAGAGAGAGACTGGGAACCTGGCCTGGGGTTTGTAAAACTCAAATCCCATCCCCAATGACACACATTCTCCAACAATGCCATACTTCCTCCAACAAGGTTATGCCACCTAATTCTTCCCAAACAGTCCCATTAATTGAGGACCAAGCATTCAAAATATGAGCGTATGGAGGCCACTCTCATACAAACCACAATTCCTTTAGTGTTCTTTGAACATGGTTACTCACACTACCCCTCCTATATCCTCCCAGATCTGTTTACCCCTACTTCATCACAACATTCTGTCTTTTTTCCTTTTTTATATAGTCTACTAAGTCCTGTTTGCACTACCATATACTCACATCTCTGGGAACATCACCTAGCGAGTTGTTGATCTACAAGGGGCTATACCCTGAAAGAAAACTGACTTGCTATACCCCAGAATCTATCAAGTCTCAACACCTCCTCTGTCACTGATTGGTGCTGGTGAGCTATTTGCAATTTTCTTGTGACTATACAGTTTTTATCATTCCTATAGCAGGGATAGAAGAAGGAGAAGAATACCAGCTCAAAGGCACAGAAAATATATTCAATGAAATAATAAAAGAAAACTTTCCCAACCTAAAGAAGGAAATGCCTATGAAGACACAAGAAGCTTACAGAACACCAAATAGACTGGACAAATAAAAGTCCTCTTGCCACATAATAATCAAAACACAAACTATACAGAATAAACAAAAACTATTAAGAGCTGCAATGGAAAAAGTTCAAGTAGCATATAAAGGCTACCTATCAGAATAACACCCAACTTCTCAATGGAGACTCTCAAAGGCAGAAGGTCCTAGACAGATACTATGCAGACTCTAAGAGACCATGCATTCCAACCCAGACTACTATATTAAGCAAAATCTTCAATTACCATAGATGGAGAAAACAAGATATTACATGACAAAAGCAGATTTAAACAATACCTATCCACAAATCCAGCCCTAGAGAAAGCACTGGAAGGAAAATTCCAACCCAAGGATGTTAGACTTCCCCAGGAAAGCATGAGCAATAAATAATCCCACACCAGCAAATCCTAAAGAAAGGAAACATGGACACACACACACACACACACACACACACACACACACACACATACAACCACCACCACCGCCACCACCAAAAAATAATAATCAACAATCACTGTTGGTATCCTTTAATATCAATGAACTCAACTGGCCTATAAAAAGACACAGGCTAATTGAAAGTACACAAAAAGAGGATCCATCCTTCTCCTGCATACAAGAAACCCACCTTAACTTCAAAGACAGACATTTCTTCAGAGTAAAGGGATTAGGAAAGACTTTCCAATCAAATGAACCTAAGAAGCAAGCTGGTGTAGCTATCCTAATATCTAACAAATAGACTTCAAAAGAGAGGTAATCAAAAGAGATGATGAAGGACATTTCATATTCATGAGTGGAAAAACCCAGCAGAAGAAGTCTCAATCCTGAACATATATGCAGCAAATACAAGGGCACCCACATTCATAAAAGAATCTTTACTAAAGCATAAATCACACATCAAATCCCACACACTAACAGTGGGAGACGTTAACACCCCACTCTCACCAGTAACAGTGTAGGGGATGCTATAGCCACGCCTGCTTAGGGGCTGGCTACAGGTGTGCCTGACCATACCTTGAGTGCGTGGTCAGGAGAAAAAGAGTGAGGGACACTTACGTGGTGGGCTGCTTTCAGTTTCGCTTTTAGCTTTCTGTACAGACTGCTGCCGTGCTGGCTGGCTAGGTGGCTCTGTAAGTAAGGCTTTTCCCTATTAAATACCCTTGTATTTCTACCTGGCTCTGAGTTGGTAATTTCCCACATTATCTGGTTGTCAGGAATGGGATCTTGTAAAGCTAGGCCCATTTGGGACAGCCTGTGGGTTCCACCGGGATGGTGGCCTAGGCCAGGAAAGCGCCCTCTCTCCACAGGTGCTCTCAGCTCACAGCTGACCCGGTGCACCACACAAGCACGTTCCGGCTGCAGTTGAACCACTCAGAACCATCCGCCCAGCTGGGAGACTTCCACAGACTTCCCTGTGGTTACTGTTGCAGTTTCCAGCTGCTGGCATGGGACCAGATCCGACTGCAGCCTACCGGTGCCCAGAGGCCTCCTGCTCTTAGCCGAGAGGCCTCAGAAGTAGGCCTCAGCTTTCAGCAGGGTCTGTCGCTTCCCCTTGCCCCTGCTGCGGTAAAGCCACATCTCTTTTAGTGGTTGTGGCTGCAAGGCTGTATACTCTCTAAACTAAGTGCAGCCATCTTTGTGACCTCTCTCCACTGCTGCCACCATCTTGCCTGACTGACCACTGCCAAACGCCGCACCGACTAACTGAACGCCTGTGCCACCTGCTGGTCAAACAGTAAATATCAGGTAAAATCATAGCGGAATATTTATCATTTGCTAAAATTGGTAATATTTTTGCTTATTACATGAATTCAATGTTTGAAGAGGACACTAATCTGCCAATTATTGGCCTATATACCATAATGGCAGTTAGCTTGCTGGTACAAATAATATTACTAGCCAGAATCCCCAGGAACAGAGACAAAGATAACCTCACCACCTGCTTGCAGGAAAAACAGCTTTATGCAATGAGGTTTGGAGAACAGATTATGTCAGAGCACAATTGTGCAGCAAGTGGAACAGAAATTGGATGATAAGCTTGGCTCTGTGTCTAATACACTAAAGGCAGAGCTGTCTGTTACCCAAGATGAGATGCAGCGTATTTATGATAGGAAAAACACAGAGAGATCCTCCATGTCTGAGGCGTTAGAGGCTAGGCTGTCAGAGGACTGGGATGAACTAAAGAATATCTGTAGCCAGCTAGAAACTCAGATAGGCTCGGTGACCCAGAAACTAGATGCAAAGGTGCAAAATACCCAGGATAGGCTTGAAGAATTGGACAATGCCATTCAATCAATTATTGAAGCATCTAAGGTAGCAGATCACAAATTTGAGTCTAGATTTGAATGTTTGGAAGATAATTTACAGTACAGGGCTGACAGATTAGATAGGTCCATACGGTCGATTGCTGAGGACTCAAAATCAGCAAATCATGACCTCAAATCTAGACACTAATACATAGAAGGCAGTTCCCATACCATCCAGATGCTGTCTAAGGATAACTGTATTAAAGACCTAGAAAAACATGTAGAGGAGCAGTTAGAGCAATTTACAGATTCACTAACATGCTTGGAATCTTTTATGATTAAGGAGATTGAAACTTTTCATGAGGATATCATTACTAGGCTTAAAGATCATTGGGATGCCTCAGAGGTAGAAGCACTCCAATCCGAGGCACCTACTCCACCCAGGTATCATGACTATTCTTCTAAGATTGTTACTCATAAAACATTAGTCTACCCAGCTACCATGGTAGAAAAGCCAGCTTTTAAGAAACACCCTCAGGGACAGATGGCTTATGTATAGCAACCTATATAACTGAAGGATCTTAAGAATATTAAAGAATCAGTTGTCTCATATGGTCTCCATAGCAAAGAATACTTTTGCCTTTAAAGATCAGATCAGCTCCGCTAGAAGAATGGGTTTTGCATGCAGCCAACATTGATTATAATGTGCAAGATACTGGGGATTGGGTAGGAGAAGCCATCTCCAAAGGTTTAAAAAGGCAACAGGAAATTAAAAGTTCTAGAGGTGAGGACGCAAGGGCTTGGGAAAGAGAAGCACCTTACAGAGGTCAACATAGGTACCAAGAGGCTAGAGGTTACTACTACTATGAACCAGAACCTTGGGTAGGAAGAGCCTTCCTCAGGAGACTACGAAGGTGCCAGGAACCTAGATGTTTCAGCTGTGGTAGAATGGGACATATCAAGAGAAATTGTAGACAAACAAATTCTAACAATGCCTCATATGGAAGGTCACTGCCTTCTGGATTGTGTAGAAGATGTGGTAAAGGCAGGCACTGGACCAATGAATTTAGATCGACCAGGGACATGCAAGGAAACCTGTTAATGTCAGGAAATCCTGAAGGGGGCCTCAAATTGAGAAAGGTCTGGTCGTTCCCAGTAGAAGTGGAAGACAATCTCTCACAGGACGAATAGATAGTTCTTTACCACATACTCAATTCAACAACACAAATTGCAGAAAGCCTACAAACTGATGGAAACTGAATAATGTTTAACTTAATCACCTCTGGGTCAAGGAAGAAATAAAGAAATTAAGAATTTCCTAGAATTCAATGACGAATGAATGTGCAACATACCAAAAACTTATGGGATACAATGAAAGCAGTGATAAAAGGAAAATCCATAGCACTAAATGCCTGTTTTTAAAAAGTTACAGAAATCCAACACTAGTGAATTAACAAAACATATGAAATCTCTAGAACAAATAGAAGCAAACTCACCCAGGAGGAGTAGATGCCAACAAATAATCAAATTGATGGCTGAAAACAATAAAATAGAAACAAAGAGAACAATAGAAAGAATCAATAAAACAAAGAGTTGGTTCTTTGAGAAAATCAACAAAATAGACTAACTAAACGGTAGGGAGAGAATATGCAAAGTAACAAAATCATAAATAAAAAGGGGAACATAACAACAGACACTGAGGAAATCCAAAGAATCATCATGACATACTCAGAAAAACTGTACTCCATAAAATTGGGAAATCTAAAACAAGTGAATGATCAAGACCATATAAACAAAATAAATAGACCTATAACCCTTAAGGAATTAGAAACCTCCCAGCGGGGGAAAAAAAAAAGACCTCAGGGATGGATGGCTTCAGAGCAGAATTTTACCAGAACTTCAAAGAAGAGCTAATACCAATACTCCTCACACTGCCCCACACAATAGAAACAGAAGAAACATTGCCAAACTCCCTTTATGAGGCTACAGCAACCCTGATACCCAAACCACAGAAAGATGAAATAAAGAAAGAGAACTATAGACCAATCTCCCTCATGAATATTGATGCAAAAATACTCAATAAAATACTGGCAAATCGAATTCAAAAGAATCATTCATCATGACTAAGTAGGCTTCATCCCAGAGATGCAGGGATAGTTCGACAAATGAAAATGTGTCAATGTAATCCACAACATAAACAAACTGAAAGGGAAAAAAACACATGATCATCTCATTAGATATTGAAAAAGCCTTGGACAAAATCCAACACCCCTTCATGATAAAGGCCTTGGAGAGATCAGGGATACAATTACCTAAACATAATAAAGGCAATATATAGCAAGCCAACAGCCAACATCAAATTAAATGGAGATAAACTCAAAGAAATTTCACTAAAATCAGAAACAAGGCAAGGCTGTCCACTCTCTATGTATCTATTCAATATAGTACTCAAAGTTCTAGCTAGAGCAATAAGACAATAAAAGGAGGTCAGGGGGATACAAATTGGAAGGAAGAAGTCAAACTATGACTATTCACAGATGATATGATAGTATATATAAGTGACCCCAAAACCTCTACCCAGGAACTCCTACAACTGATAAATACCTTCAGTAATGTGGCAGGATACAAGATTAACTAAAAAAATCCATAGTCCTTCTATATACAAATGATAAAGGGGCTGAGAAAGAAATCAGAGAAACATTGCCCTTTACAATAGCCACAAATATAAATATCTTGGGGTAACACTAACCAAACAGGTGAATGACCTGTACTACAAGAACTTTAAGTCCCTAATGAAAGAAATTGAAGAAGATATCAGAAAATGGAAAGATCTCCCATGTTCTTGAATAGGTAGGACTAACATAATAAAAATGGCAATCCTAGCAAAAGTAATCTACAGATTCCATGCAATCCCCATCAAAATTCCAACACAATTCTTCACAGTACTTGAAAGAACAATACTCAACTTCATATGGAAAAACAATAACACCAGAATAGCTGAGAGAATCCCATACAATAAAGGACCTTCCAGAGGCATCACCATCCCTGACTTCAAACTATGTTATAGAGCTATAGTAATAAAACAGTGTGGTATTGGCATAAAAACAGACAGATGGATCAATGGAATTGATTTGAAGACCCTGATATCAATACATACGCCTATGATTATCTGATTTTTTACAAAGAAGACAAAATGGTATAATGGAAAAAGAGAAACCTCTTTAACAAATGGGAATGGCATAACTGGATATTAACATACAGAAGATTGCTAATAGACCCGTATCTATCACCATGCACAAAACTCAAATCCAGGTGCATCAAGGACATCAACATAAATCCAGCTACATTGAACCTGATAGAAGAGAAAGTGGGAAGTAGCCTGGAATGCATTGGCACAGGAAACCATTTCCTAAATATAACAACAGAAGCACAGACACTGAAAGCAACAATCATTAAATGGGACCCCCTGATACTGAAAAGCTTTTGTAATACAAAAGACACTATCAATAAGATAAAACAATAGCCTATAGAATGTGCAAAGGTCTTCACAACCACATATCTGACAGAGGGCTGATCTCCAAAATTTATAAGAAAACAAAAACTCAAACTAGTCATCAAAATAACCCAATTGAAAAATGAGGTACAATGCTAAACAGAGAATTCTCACAGAAAGTATCTCAAATGGCCAAAAGACATTTAAGGAACTGCTCAACATCCTTAATCATCAGGGAAATGCAAATCAAAATGACTCTGAGATACCATCTTACACCTGTCAGGATGGTTAAGATCAAAAATACTGAAGACAGCTTATGTTGGAAAGGAAGTAGAGTAAAGGGAACACTCCTCCACTGCTGGTGGGAGTGCCAACTTGTACAGCCACTTTGGAAATCAGTATGGTGGTTTCTAAGAAAATTGGGAATCAGTCTATGTCAAGACACAGTGATACCACTCTTGGAAATTTACCCAAAGGATGCTCAGTCATACCACAAGGACATTTGCTCAACAATGTTTGTAACAGCATTATTTGTAATAACCAGAACCTGGAAACGACCTAGATGCCCCTTAAATGAAGAATGGGTAAGGAAAATGTGGTACATTTACACAATGTAGTACTACTCAGTGGTAAAAATGATGATCTCATGAAATTTTCAGGCAAATGGAAGGAACTAGGAAAAAACATCCTGAGTGAAGTAACTCAGACTCAGAAAGACAAACACGGAATGTATTCACACATAAGAGGATATTAGATGTAAAGCAAAGGATAACCAGACTAAAATCCACAGCTCCGGAGAAGCTAGGTAACAAGGGGAACCCTCAGAG